CGAACGACATCTGTGGAGCGGCGTAGACCACGTGGCCAACCGTGTCAATGACTCGAGCGTGAAATTCAACGTCGATTGATCGCGTATATTTCACGTGTGCCTTCGCCATCTCGCAACGGCGATTACAAGTTACGTGAAATATACCGAAGAAGTTGTGCGGAATAAGGGGGAACGTTTGCGAGGCAAGTGGAAACGTGGCGAATCTCGTGGTTTTTTCGCGTCGACCGTTGGCATCACTGGCTCGTTCGAAAGGTAAACGTCGATGACGTGAGGGAATGCGTTAATTGATCGGCGTGATGATCGTTCTGTCGGCCGGGTTCATCACGTGATCCACGGCGGAAAGACAACGAGCCGCTCGGTCAGATGATCAGTGATTAATAGCTAGCAGGACGCGAATTTTCCAACATCCGATCGCGTGTCGACCTCGTTCTTTCTCGGCTCTCGAATCAACCGATGTCGTGCATGACAATTCCAATAATCGTGGAAGCGAAACTGAAAATCCATGATTTTCAAGTGTCCGATCACCTCCTCGCGTGCTCGATCCTATTCAAATCCAGTGGAAGTTCCTTTGTGAAACGATCGAACAAGATTTCTATCGTAGTTTTCACAATGTAATTATAATCGATGACTGGACATAAAGAAGCCTGTGTGTATACAAAAATTTCTTTAATTATCGGAACGTTATCTAGCGGTAAGACAACTGTGAGAACTGATTTTTCGACGATATTCTTATTTCACTGTTAGAAACACAGCCGTTTTCATGTCCAGTTTTGAATTTCTGCTCGGAACAAGTGTCTACGAATTAACAACATCATCTCGCGACGACGAATAGTCACACATGCTAAATTGCATTTGGAACACGTTAATTGATAATAACTGTTGGTACGAGCGTTAATTATCGTCTACCTGTTGCTCCCGACGATTTACAACTCCGAGCAGCTTATCTGCGCTAATTTTTCTTCTTTTTTCGAGAAAGTTTCTGTCTTAACGGTAAGATAAGGGAGATTCTTTCAGCGGCGATTAATTTCGATGCACGGCGGAGTAACGCAGAATAGGAAGCAACGTCTTATTTTCTATTTTCATCACTCGAGATATCATCGATGAGTGCACCATTACCTCCTTTATCCCTCCGTAAAGCGAATAACAATGAACGTAACTGTATATAACAGACGTGAATGAATAGTTCCTCGAACACAAGACGAGTTTTGCTCCGTTGACATTTGCATCGAAGCTCGATGGGTGTGCAACAAATGTTAAATCATTCGTCGATAACCAACTCCTCTATCGATCGGTCAGATCTCCGTGAGAGATAACGAAAAAAGTGCCGAGAGAAATACACTTGAAATCAATCGAGACGTTTCTCTACACAAATTTCTTATCGTTTCGAACACGTTACGAAAGTGAGAAAAGTCGCGTAGCAATTTCCTGTATTCTTTATCAATGTCCAAACATTCGTGTACGTTTCTTTTCTTTTCACGAAATTCACGATCACGCGGATGTTGGTTAAACCCGTTTGAAAAATTCGCAGTCAGAGCTTGCGATATGTTTAAACATTCTTAAGCGGTGAAAATAGCACGTGATGGAGTTTAATGAGCTTCTTGGAAGGTTCGCGTGTTTCACCGATGACTTTTGCAATCGATAGCGCGATTCCTGTTAAACGAGATGCGTTATTCATACTGTATATTCTTCAAACACGTTTCCTGAGATTATCTGCCTTTTTCTTATCGAGATTTCGTCTGAAAACATTGAAATCATTTTCTTTCAACATTCTCCGAGAACTTTTTACCATTCTTGCGACACTGAATTTACGCTCCACGATTCACAGTTCGAGAAGCTTGGAATCGTCGCGTTGCTCATCTTCGCGCCTTTTGGTTCCTGTGTCATGGGGAATTTTTCTCGTTCGTCATTTCGTCGATTTTTTTCGTAGAATCAGAGTCGAATATTTTGGAAGGGAGAATTTTTATCGAATTTAGGAATTTTTGTGTCACGTGAAACACTCGAAAAAATGAAATTAAGAAAATTGGAAATACATCGTCAGTTTCGATCAGCTTATGCTTCGTTGAAATTACAAAGATTCTTGGTTCGATGAAATTGCAGTTCCTTCGAAACAACAACCATCAGCGGATTGAATTCCCATTCCAGTTGTTCCATTCGAATTTCTACACCTCGATAAATTTCCTTAATGACGTGTAACGCGATTATTCGGCTGACGGATACGGATAATCCGTGGCTTGGTATGCGAATTCAGCAGCGAGGATCGTGTCTAACCTAATGCGAAGAGAACACCAGGCTCACGTGTACGCGAGGACTTCTGCATTCTCCCCAAACCGGAAACGTCCCTCTTCTGCTCTCCCTGAATCACCGTGGCAACGATCACGCACACGATTAAACCGTGCAATTATCGCCACACAATGGGATTCGCGATATTTATCGATAAGCGTCTTTTTGTTCACGGTGAATTAAAAGTCAGGATACCCATTAAAAAAGCGGAGAAAAGAAGGAACGTTTCGAGTGGTTTCGAGCACAGTGGAACGCCTTTGCTTGTTAACCAGCAATCCAGAATACGGTCTTAACGACTTCTAAATTCCACCTTGCAGAGGAGCCAGGTTTTTTTTTTCGTTAGACGAATATTTTTAGCGTTAGCAAAATACAAGCGTACTGTTTCTTTCGAAATTAGAAGAAACTTTTCCTTCTTTCAAACTTGTATCCAAAGCAACCTCTCCAATGACCCACTATCTTTCTCTCAGCTCTTCGTCGAAAATATCACTGACGCACCAAAAGAAAGAAAGAAGATGGAAGAGGCGAAAAAAAATATTCATTTACATCGTGATTCGAGGCACGAGAAACGCGCTGCGGTGGCTGGAACCGGAGCCGAGCCGAGAAATTTCAACGAGCTAGGAGGCTCTCGCGTTTCGCATCCGGCGAAATTCGCGAATAATCGCTGCGTTTCGCACACGTGCCAACGCAGTAACGCGTGTTCGCGCGTATGTGCCACCGTGTCTGCATTATCCCCGCCATAAGAGGTAAACGCCATGGCATCCGTTGGCACAATCTCGTGCAACGGCCGGGAATCTGAAACAGTTGCGAGTGCGACGCGCTTACGTGCGCTGCTCCAGCTGGAAAACGCGGAGAAAAAGGATTCGTTCGTCAGTAAGAATCGTCGTCTTTTATCATCGTGTCCGACTCTTTCGACAACTATCCAGGTGTATTCTCCAGATTTTTCCTTCGTTTCGCGAGATTTCAGATCGACAATCCTGATATCGCGCGGATATAAACCTGATTCTCGTGCAATTTATTAGTAGACTTCTCGACACTTTCTTTTTTTCAATTCTGTATTTCTTCGAGATTGCAAATGAAATCTTTGAATCGGTAAAATTTAGATAAATATTGACATCGATATCGGAGAATTTCTGATTTCGCGTGGATAAACCTGATTTCACCTTTGTTTACTAATTATACGATTTTTATGAAACTTCTTTGTAGATTTCTTCGATCTTTTCCTTAAATTCCGCCTTTTTCGAGAGTCCAAATGAATTTCTGAAAGTCGAATATTCCCATCAATTTCCGAGAGTTCCTCAGGTCGACGATCCGAATTCTCGCTGAAAACAAAACTGGGTTACGCGAATTTTTCTAAGCTCGCCGCTTCCTCGGTTCCAAACTCGAAACTAAATTTCGCTACATCTCGCCACGAAATTTCCCGAAGCACGGTTCGAAAGATCGAGTTTCACGCGCTTATCAACGTAAGAAGTGAACGTGTAAACAAGGAAATTACATTTATAATTAATCGTGTGTCTCAATCGTGCAAACTCGTTTCCGTTTCGAATCGACGAAGAAAAAAAGACACACACGGACGAAGCGGTACCAGGCTTTTTCTCCTTGGTTAACGGTATCGATACACGAACTTTCACTTCTTTTTCCTGACTCGAGTAACGGATTCCTGATCGATTCATTGTCCGGTAAAAAAAAAAAAAAAAAAAAACAGAAGAAAAATTGAAAAAAACCTGCAGTCTGTTTCATTCTTCATTGGCGAGATCTTTACGAGCTGACGAGCTCGCGATAAGAGTATCGTTTGCGGGGAAAATTCAGTGAATCATGAACCTGGGAACGTAATTTATGTCACCGAGCCAGATAAGCGGGTATTTATACAGTGTTTACATTTTTCGTGTTTGTCCAGATATCCAATCATATAAGTATTTGCAACTGTACGATCATATTATTGCTATTGCCTCGACTCGATAAAACGAACAACTGACCGCAAAAAAAAACAAAACAAAATCGAAAGAAAACGATTGTTCCTGAAATTTTCTTCAATGGTTTCTAAAATTCTGTTCGGTTCTCGGTTACGTGTCTCTCCAGGATGATGCAGAGATATACAACCTCGACGTAATCGGTAAAATCAGGAAAAATAATTATGTAATACCCGATCGATTGCCTAATCCGTGGCAACGTCATTTTTCCAAGTATACGTTCTCCGTCATTTTTCCCGCGGTCTTCATTGTTTCCTTCTCGTTTAATTCTCAAACAGCCTGAAGAATCGCAGGAATCTTCATCATCCTTTCAGTTTTAGTCCACGACTGTTCTTCAACTATTACACAAAGAGGCAAAGAAATGGAAAAACTGGCCTTGTCGACCGTGTATTTTTAGATAGTGCAATCATTGCGTTTTTTTAATGACTCATCATATATACATGTATTTCATACAACTAGAGACACCTTGACGAAAAAAAAAGAATGACATCGAATTTTTTTTTCGCTTCTTCTTCTTACCGAGAAACCTACCTCTTCATTCGTCGTTCCGTTAACAATTCTGTCGAAGAGAATTCAGATGAAAGATTCCCCCCGTTCTAAGCCGGAAACTCGCGTCAGCGACACCCTCGACGACCCTCGGGCGTTTCCTCCGTGAAAAAAAAACATCCCTTCCTATCCTTTCTCTTTCGCGTATAAGAATAAAACGAAATGGCACAGTGTCGACTAACAGTGACATCGATTGCCCGGCCGTAGGGACGAGGAGAACGTTTGGATTCCGCGAACGGAAGGGCGGTGTGAATGCCGGAGGAAAGTGAGAGGAAAGGAAGGAACGATGGCAGAAAAGAGAAGTTTGCTCTTCAACGGCCGTGAGTCATCGTCGCGCGGTCACTTCCAGCGGCTTCATTCATCCTCGATACCGGACGAAAAAACGCGTGATCGTTCGTGATTCCAGATACGAACTAGCTGAGAGGAGACGTTGAGAAGAGAGAGAGAGAGGGAGAGAAATCATAAGGAAAACGGGGAAGGATCAAAAAGGACCAGTGTATATAGTATCTATACATATATATGTAGTAAAAAGGTGAAGGAAAGGAAGAAAGAGATTCGGCGAGCAGAGTTAAAAGAATATAAAAAAAAGACAGAGAATAAAAGGCAAACAAGTAGGAGGGAGGATGTGTTTGATATTCTTGATGGAGGTTCATTGGTGAACACACGTGAAACGATACGCAACGTAGCGTGGTGGCATGGAGGAGCCGCAGAAATTGTTTCGCCTCCCTGGTACCATCGAGGAGGAGGAGGAAAAGGACACGGAAGTTCAAGACCACCTGCCGCTCCCGGAAAACCCCAACACAGTCGATTCACCCTTACTTGGACAGAAGAACCCGGGAACGTTGTCCAGTCTGCCCAGAAACGTCACCCTCGTCAGGGTTAGCACCCAGAGCAGCAGTATCGGTGGCGTCGGTCGCCAGGATTCTACCAGGTGAGTTTCTCTTTTCCTTTTCCACACTTTTCTCTACACCTTCGTTCGTGGGAACGACTACATCTGTGGCAAATTTGGAGACACAAAAATACACAGAATGCACATTATAAATAAACCGAAAATAGAGTATTCGTTGTAATATCGAGCTTCATATCGGGCATACAAAACCGCAGTCTATTCGTAAGAGTTGCACTTGGTGATTTGACAAATTATCAGAGCCGCCGTAGTTTGTGTAGAAATGAAATTGCGATATCAAGGTTTCTACGCTGAATAATTTTTAGTTAACGTACACAGCTGTTTATAAAAATTATGTAGGTTTGTACCACGTCGAATCTCCAATGCTTGCAATTTTTAAAAGGCAGAACTTTTTGATAGACTTGATAGCTCTCCTCTCGAGACGTTCTCAGCTATATTGCCAAAAGTAATTTCGTTTTCATTGGGGGCTCGTATAAAACCGGAAACCTCCACTTTGCATGTGAGAGAGTGAAGATATATCGGTGACTGTAGCAAGGCAGACATAATCGCGCGACAATTACCAAACAAAACAGCGGCGGTTCGAGAATCACGTGGCCGGTTCCCAAGGTAGTGTATCTCGGAAGGATCATTCTCAGCGGTATTAACACGGTTACCTTCTGTTTGAGGAAGCCATTCACTATGTTTTCTGGCGCCAGATGCTGTGTACACGATTTTAAATAACCGGCTAAAAATACGAAAAAAGAAGAAAAATCGATCACCTCGAATTCACCTGTTCCAGCCGTTTCTTCGACGTAACATTTGAACAAGTGTGGAACAGGTGGCACACTCGAATACGAAATTACGGGTAAATCAGAATTTCAATCTTTTACAAATTAACAAAAATAATTCCTCTTAAATCTTCCTCAGATTTTAAACGAAAAACGAGTAAATTTCTCTATGCAAATTGCACGCTTAAACGCAAAATTACGGATAAATCAGAATTTCGATTTTTCGCAAATTAGCAAAAATTCTTCTTCTTAAAACCTGCTCAGATTTTACACTCTGAGTGTGTTTATTAAAAATATCGCTCTCCCTCGATAAAGTGATCCAGCGTCAAGGAGTAATCAACTATTTACGACACGAAATGCGTAATTCCCAAGATAAATTCACTTTGAAACACCATCGAACGAGATAAGAAAACATAAAACCGCTGAAAAATCAACAAAAACAGGATTCTCTGTAATTTGTCCGCGACAAGAAGAGCAGACGCGTAATTTTTCTTTGATCGTCGATCGACAGGCTTCAACTCCTTTTAACGATCTGTCGTAACAGTTGGTTACAAAGGGAACGCTATGTCCTTCTCCTCGGTATTTTCATATTTCCACCGCGATGTTTGCCAGCTCGCCTATCATCAGACAGGTACAATTTATCGAGCACACCTCCATTAAACGTGAACGCGATATATTTCCCCGAGGCATCGCCGCGTCTGACTAACGAGGTCTGTATCCACTGTGTTTACCCTTCCGCCTCTAATTCACCTATCGCGTAGCCACCGTCGCCATTTGTCAAAGGCTGGAAACAACGAGTTACACATGCGACAATTACAAAATTCGCAAACACGTCGGCTGACCTTCTTCGCTAATTTAACTATTCCTTTCGTCTCGATTCGTGGCAAATTCTTTCGCAAAAAATGGCATGGACAACCAGTAACCTATATGTATCTCTGATCGTTATAATTCTATATAAAAACACGATTGAAAATTGTGAAAAGTTCGTTGGAATCTGGTATTTCATTCGATTCCCCGGATTCTCTCGCAATTTTTCTCAAGCAGATCTGCGCCAAGCGGCATTTTTCTCTTTAATTAAGATTCTAAGGGACTGTCGTAATTTATTTCTACTCGAGCTCGATATTTCTTTACTGTTGAAGCTTGTGAAACTGATTTCTCTATTGGTATCTTAATAAATAATAATTTATCACGATTCTATTCGATCGGTGAACGTGTGCAATAGATTGCACCTCGATTAATTTATAGATGATGAGAAATGCTAAGTGGAAGGCTAATTCACCTTCTGGAACGCGAAAGGTCACCGGTGGCGAATTAATCTGTCATCGCGGCCAGAGTTAATCGCGGAAACTCGCTACGATTTCTCGCTGTGTATCAGATTTCCTGTTTCCTGGACGAAATCTGATCCAACCGGTGGATCATCGCGATTTTCCTAACAGGCTCTTCCGTTCGAATCGTGCAACTTCCAACGATTTATCGGACCAACAGCAAGCTTTCAAAGTTCAGTTTTGTGTGTACACTGAGGAAAATTGAAACGTTGTTGCATCGAAGATATTTTTAATACCGATTATTTATTGTAGGTAATACGACGCTTGTTAAGAAAGGTATTTTAGTAATACACGACTCGATTAATCCCAGCTAGACGATAATAAACAGGTGTAGAGTGGACGGTATTATCTGAGAACACGTATTGAACTGACACCAACTAATAATCCAATTATTAGCTTCTCGCCTAATCTGGTGTATTTATCTGTGCGGATTAAACGTGCAACAGATACGGCGGACGAGCCTGTCGCGACGTATTACTGTCACGGAGCTCTAACTCAATAGCTAAGCGAGAAATAATTCGGCGAATATACTCGAAAATTGAAATTATCGCGATTTCAGAGGGTTCTACGTGGTGCGAAAAAAGTAACGGGTAGAATTTACAGGAATTCGTTTAGAAATTTGCGAAATACTTCTTATTCTTCAATTTTCAAATTTAACCCTATAAAACTCTGCTTTTTCCACGAATAAAAATAATTAGTAACCACCTCCTTAAAAAATGATTTCTATATTAAAATAGTTACAGTGATTTTTGAAGTTGAAAAATTCTCAAATATCGATTCAGAAATTTCCAAAAAATCTTTAAATTTCATTCAGAGATGAAACACTGAATAAAAATAATTAACAACCACCTCCTTAAAAAATTATTTCTGTATGAAAACAAGCAGAGAATGATTTTGTCAGGTAGAAAAATTCTGAAAAATCCATTCCGAAATTTGGAAAACGAATTTTGTGCGATAGAAAGAATAAGCGACGAAAAGTGAAATCTTCGTGCAACCGAAGCTCACGTCTCGTCCGATCTCGTTAGTTTAATTAAAAGCTCGTTATCGAAGCCGACGTCGTCGTAGCTGAACTTGCTGGCAACGAGAGTCCGAGCCACAGTGTGCTTGCGCCCAATGATATTACCGCGCCGCTCTTAATCCGCGGGGAAAACGCTTGGAAAGTGAGTTGCGTGTTCCGGAAGTGAAGATCGGGATGTCGACACGGGGTAGATTGTGCGTCTCGTCCGGAAGGAGAACGAGACATCACGTTTCTCGATCGAAAACGAGCAGACAACGCGTGAAACGAGACAGCTGGTTGGTTTTGTTCAAAGAGGTAGAACACGTGTTATTCTTTTCCTCTAAAGTGATGATTAAAAGTGAATTTCACCATCTTGTGGAATTACTTCGTAATTCAGCTTAATTTCCTATTTAATTTCCGTATTTCAACTTAATTTCTTGTGTAATTTCCATGCTTCAACTTAATTTCCCATTTAATTTCCGTACGTCAACTTAATTTCCACACTTCAACTTAATTGCCCATTTAATTTCCACGCTTCAACTTAATTTCCCATTTAATTTCCGTACTTCAACTTAATTTCCATACTTCAACTTAATTTCCACACTTCAATTTAATTGCCCATTTAATTTCCATACTTAAACTTAATTTCCATATTTAAACTTACTTTCCAATTTAATTTCCACACTTCACCTTAATTGCCCATTTAATTTCCACGCTTCAACTTAATTTCCCATTTAATTTCCGTACTTCAACTTAATTTCCACACTTCAACTTAATTGCCCATTTAATTTCCATGCTTAAACTTAATTTCCATATTTAAACTTACTTTCCAATTTAATTCCCACACTTCAACTTAATTTCCCACCTAATTTCCACACTTCAACCTATTTCCCATCTAATTTCCACACTTCAACTTAATTTCCCATCTAATTTCCACACCCACAAAAATCTTGAAATGAATAAATTCGTGTCAACTGAACAGAAAATTGTCTTTCCATTGTAACATCAGAAGTATCGTTAATTGGTAACCGAGGCTCTCTTGTACTACGTCGTAATCAATTAGTAGAGTACGTACAAGAAGGTGTGACTATGGGAGAAAACAGGAACGATTTCCTTGTGACACGTGAAACCTGTTTCAAGACTCGATTTGCATGCAGTTAGTCGCAACTATGATGTTACATGCGCTTAATGATTATTTTCATGAATATTTCCATCGAATTCGTTTGCCTGGGTGCATCATGGATAAATTTGAACGGAACGTCGAGTGATTTATCAGGACTCGAAGAACAGTAGGAGAATATTTTTCCATTGTTTCACGTTGAAATTCAGCATGGCTGTGTGCAAACACACGTGAGACCGTGGTTTCGAGTTGTCGTTCTGTAGAATTAGTACAGCTCTCAATTGACGCCTACAAACGATACGACCTCTTCCACTATGGGATAGCGCCATTATAATGCGCACGGAATAAATTACTAACAGCTAATACGATTCAGCGTTACCGGTGTTGATCGAGCCCTTCCGGCTTCAATTTCTTTCTCTGCCCCCTGGACAATGTTTTCGAGGAAACGTCAACTCGTTCATAAATGGTTTAAACAGCGAATTGCCCGAAGAGAGACGGAAGAAAATTGAGAAATTTATCAGCAACGAGAAGAACGACATTACGAACACTTTTGTCCCGATCTCTTTTTACAAACCGAGCCTATTTTAATACATCTTTGTGAACATATACATGTGTGTATCAAGGCACACGATAAATCAGCTGGAGAGACGAGAGTTTTTAAAGAGATAAGCGAATCAGATTTCAAGATAAATCTGAGCCGAGTATAATACCTCGGAAAACAGAAGAGCACGAATATATGTATATGCAGGAAATTAAGTCTCAGATAAGGTATATAAATCAGTACCATAATTGGGATATGCACTGCAATCTGCAATTTTTATATTTTTGTAATAATATCGAGAGGTAGCTCGTTAACCTTTGCGATTGATTTTAATTAAAAACTTCAAACTATCGAGCTCGTAAAAAGAATCTTCAACGACTTCTGGCCTTTCCGTCTAAAACAACAAACTTCTATCTCTATCGAACGCTCGTTGCATGTTTAACCCCTTTGTTTTATGATTTACTTTTATGACTTTATTGTTGTGTTAATATTTGATATGCATACAACACATCTTTACTTCAAAAGTAAATGGAACACGGATCATTTCTATGCCAACATTTCAATTCCTAGAAGTAACCAAAAAATATTTTCTTCACCGATACCGGTTATCGGTAACCAAAAAAAAAATGTTCACGATCCCTATACATAGGTTATCATTCCCAAAAAATATTTCCGTGATCGATATTCGGTATCGGTAAGAAAAATATTTGCGTCAACGATAATGGTTATCGATGGAAAACAAAAAAAAATTTTAATCATTCGAGAAAATGTAATAATTGTTATACCGTAACTATTTTGTATAACAGTGAAGGTATGTACAATCATACGTAATGCAAAATTTGTTGAAAATCTGACGTTACAAAATATCGAAAGCAGATGTCAGCGAAAGATCGACAACGGTATCGTACATTCCGTGTAGTCGGAGAAAAGAAATCGCGGGTGAGGGATCCGCTTTCGTCATTTGCGTGCGATCAGCGGTTTAGCGAAGGAACGATACCGATAAGGAGATGGCTGCTCGTTGATAAGACATGCCGACGGACTTTCAGTCAGTTAAACGAAGTCAGTGGAACATCGCAAATCTCGCGCTTGAAACAGGCGTCGCGCGATGACACGACTCCTCGTTATCGGTGAACCGAGTGCACCATGCGCTATAAACGAGAAACAGATAATGCTAATTGAAGGAGACATCGTGTGAAAAGTGTATGTGTCTGTCGAGAACGTTGTTTTCCTGGATTTCCACCTTGATAAACGTTCGAGATAGTGTACAACGTTTAAAACCTCTGCGAGTAGTGGAGCAATTAGTGTTCTCGAATTGGTGGCTGAAGAAGTTTCGAAATTCGAATGGGTTACACTTCAGAGTAAACCAAAGAAGTGTGAAGTGTAACTTATTTATAAGACGTCAAAGTTTGAAATGTACGGATACACTTCCGAGTATTGCAAAGAAGCGTGAAGTGTAACTTAATTATAAGACGTAGAAGGTTGAAATGTACGAATACACTTCAGAGTATTACAAAGAAGTATAATTGTCATACACATTTACCAATGCATCTGAGATAAAAGATTGAAATGTATAAATGGAAATGAAATCAACGAGAACTGTCACCGATGACTGATGCAAAAGTAAAACAATCAATGTTCTCGAAGTGGTGGCTGGAGAAGTTTGGAAAGCTCAATACATCTCAAAGGTCTGAAGTGTAATTTATTTTATCGTCAAATACTCTCCAAAATATCTAAGCTAAAAGATCGGAATGTATGAATGAAAATCAAACGAACGAGACGTGTCGCCGATAATTACCGAAAAAGGAGGAAACATCGGACGCTAACGAGGGAAGTATTCCGTGTGACGTAACCAGTCCATTTTCTCGCAAATGAAAAGAGCAAACGTTATTGTTAGTAGCTGATAAGTGGAGACCGCTGGCCAGGTATTGGCTCGTATAAGACGCTGTACATCATTGCGAGTACATCAGTAGATCCTCGAGCCATCAAACTCTGCGCCCAGTCACCCAATGATCGCACATCGGTCGCTTCAACGGCCTCCATGAAGATCACGAATAATCGAATCCATCGGGAAGGAAGCCTCGAGAAACGAGAAAGAATCGACAAGTGCCCCTGAAAATATTCAGATTGAATTCCTCGAGTGAAAATCACGCAGTGAGTTTTACACGGTGGATCTCCGATGAGTGATTGAAAACTGAACAGCGGATCTCGAAGAGCTACAAGTGTCTTAAGAAAAGACGGGAGACAGAAATTGATCGATGAGCTGGTTGATTTTTTACGAGGAAATACACACTATAATAAAGAGCAGAAGTGACTGGCAGTGAGTTTCTTCAGCTGTGTAACGCAGCTGTTGACAGCGAAATAATTCGTGAAGAGAATAAATAGAACACGCAGAGATAAACGTTTTCCCTTCTTTTTTTTTTTTCCTTTTTCGGTCAGAACACGATTATCGGCGGCGTTAAGTGAAAGGCTAACGGGGAACGATAATTAACGACGGGAAGTAATCAGTTTCCCGTCGATTCTTTAACCCGGCGAATTCACATTCTGCTGGCTATTACACCGAAAAATTCCCAGAGATTAGGATTCCAACGTGAAATTCTGAAATGCTGCACCAGGCTGCATAGAAATTCGTATCGATAACTAACTACTCCTATCTACGATCACGTGGAAAACTTGAGGATGGAGAGATAGAACAGCTAGATATTTGCTCGACAAGTGAAATAATCCTTTGACCGCTGATCGTTCCGTTGGCGATAAGAGACAAGAAACTTGCACCTGCATCATTCTAACGTGATTAACGAGACTATGTGTAACGCAGTGCGAAACAACGAGTCAAATATGAGAACAGCGTGCAATTCTCTGTGAAAACGAGTAAGAAAGATCCACGACAAAGAAAAATTTCCCCCGGAACCTAAAAAAAAGCGAAGAAACAGCAAAAAAAAAACAGAAAAAAGAGAGAAAAATGAATGGAAACGTTTCGAAAAGTCCCAGTTTGGACGTGAAGTCATCCTCGCCGGACAGAGGAGAGAAGCAGAATTTGCTAGCAACGTTGACGAAAACCACACCTGTTATAGTAAAAGTCGCCAGGGGCCCGAACCCATCGTTCCGAAGCAGGTAAACGATATTTCACCGATAATTAGCCGTCGTCGCAATTTTCTACGCAGTTGCATTCGCGTGTAATAAATAGTATCAGGATCGTTAAACGCTCCGGGAGGAATTAATAACACGTCAACGATGTTTTCTTTTTGTAGCGGCGCTCGTTATTTACGAGCAGCACACGTTAATTCGATGAGCGATTATATTTCAGCCGCGCACCCCTGCGCGTTCGCTTCAATTGTCCGGCTAAACGCAATAGCGAGGGAACAATTAGGAAAATGAAGGATGAACTCGTTCGTGTCTTCTCGCAAACGGAAAGATACTCTTCCTACGGTGTTAATTTGCAAGAAACACAGTGCTTTTTTGCCGGGGTCTGTGAAGAAAGAGAAGCCAGTATTTGCCCAGTCAGATTTATTTCTTTCTTTCTTTTCCTTTTTTTGGAGATGTGACAAATTTTGTTTTTCGGGAAAAGTACCATTTTTGCGAATGACACTAGAAAATTGTGTTTATATATTTTATGGAAAATTCTGAATATCTATTCCTCTCATACAGAAGGGAATTAGCAAAAGTTTTTCGAATGAAAGTTGTTTGATACGAAAAGAGCCATGATTTTTCATTCGTGGAGTCTCTCAAGTGATGTGAAATTTATTATTTCCTCGTAACACTCTATATTTCAGTACACAATTTTATTTCTCATAAATTCCAAGAAGACACGTTTACCTAAAAACGAACAGTTCTAAAAAGTCTAGCATCAAGTAGTTCCCAGACAAAAATCTCAGAACCTTGAAGATCCATTAGAAACTGGAAAAATTTGGATGTACCTCTTATCTCATTTCCCCATTATTCTCACTACTAGAATGCTAGAAAATGTTAGAAAAATTAACTTGAACGAACGATCCTTATCATCGAATCCCGATAACGCTGGAACTTAGATCGAACGGTATCTCGACGAATCGATCGAGGTCGTGCAATATCTGTTTGAACAAAAATCACTCTCCTCACTTTGCAATTATCGAACAAACCGTAAAATCTAAGATCGTAACAAAAATGATCGATTTTCCATCCTCGAACCGCTACGATAAGAAGATCCTTCGCGAAGAGTTCACCGAGTGTCGACGACTCGTCGATTGATTTACGCGTGGCAATAAATAAATTGGTAGATAACAGTTGCTCAGTTATCGTACGGAGTCAAAATGGCGACTTCCTTTCGTACGTACGAAAGGGCGGTGAGCATCGAAGGTCTCAGACGGTTCGTAGAACTGTCCGCGACGATATTCGACGGTGAACGCTCGACGTTTTCGCGATCGGTGAACGGGTGGAAATGGTCGATTTCGTGGCTGGATTCGCGTGGATCGAGCGCAGTTCGTTCGAGTTTATCGCTGCTCGATTAAGAGGTCCGTCGGATACGCTCTTCAACGTGTTTCGAGGAGGCGAATACAAGTGGCAGAAGCAAGTGGCAACAATGTTCGTTGATAAAATGGTCGGGAGGGTCCCCTCTGTATAGTCAGAATCATTTTCACCAGTGAAAACGTCGTTTCTAGCGAACGAGAACGAGATCTGCGAATTCTTTCGCAATTCTCATAGTTTTAAGAGCGGAGTTTCGTAAGGTTTCGTGGTTTTCGAGGGGAATTGGGTCGAGTTCGAGACTGAATGTGCGCAAATTGGAGAACATACGGGACGTTCGATTTTATCATGGAAAGGACCAAGAACGATGACGTACAATGCGAAGAGATTTGTCGTGAGTATCGTTCAAGTGATTGAAAAATTGGAATATCGCAGAGAAAAACCGCAGCTCTGTAAAACGTAACTAAAATCAAAATTCTGAAAAAAGACAGAAATTCGCGAACGAATCTGTAATATTTGCAGACAAGAAGAAACATCAGTGCACAGTGAATCTAATAATTTCCCGGAAGAATTAAATATAAAATTTCTCTGTGAGATAAATCTATCGGTTCCGTGGAAACGTTCTACTAAAACGCCCTCGTTAACTATCAAGTTCGACAAGTTTCTCATCGAGAGATCCATAAACGACATCTCGCGATTTGTATTACAGCGATGAACAACGATAAAAAAATTTTCCACACTTCGTTGGAACTCACGTACACGCAGATGTTCGCCTTCTTAACGTAATAAAAATGCGCGTCTGCGAGTGCGTCGGCAGGCAACCGTGCAAAATGCGTCGCAATGAAAAATCGTTGTTTGTAAATCGTTCATCTGTCACGCGCGCATCTTAACTAGAATTTTCATAACGAGTCTGATCCGCGTCGAATAAGGAACGCTGTGACCGATCGAACCGTAGAAAAAAAAAAAACAATTCGTAATTATTGTATTTGCTATTCAAATCCCGATCCGTCGGTGGTGGGTTGAGGTACATTTTTCTGGCGCGTTGCACGAAACTCGAGGCCTTGGCGATAATTTCCAGCATCTCTGATTGACGTCCAAAGAAATAATTTATTCCCTGTATTGTCACTCGAGTAAAAGAAAAAAGGAAACAGTGTCTTATACATACGCGTGCGGAATTCGGTTCCATGATTTATCGTTGTTACGTTCGTGGAAGTGAACGTCATTGTTAAATAATCGTGGTAGGAAGCGTAATCGGCGTCGTTTTGCGGAAGCTCGAAATTGATAGTAGTTAAGTCTGTCTATTAAATAGAGAATCGTTTTGTCGCGGAAAGTGATTTTGGAAAATTGCTAGCTAGATTCAACGTTTTACAATATTACGGATATTTGCAGTTGGATTAAAAACGTCGAAGGGTTGAAACGTTTGTGGTTTTCAAAGATATATCTCGCGAAAAGTAAGCTATTAACAAGTATAGTAGAATGTTGGTCACGATGCAAACGATGAAATTTGTTAATCAAAAAGGTGTTCGTCTTCGTAAAGACGCGAATCTAGAGTACCGTGACGGTGATCAATTTAACAAATGGCCACTGTCACGAACCTTTAACGCGTCGAGTATACCACTGACTTGATGCACACCGTACAACTAATACACTCCTTCAAAATCTATCTTCTATCGAGGCTAATTAGAAATTTGAAAAATGATTCCTGAAAATTAAAAAGAATTCTCAAACTTAATTTTTCTCGACACCGATAAAAATTGCAAGATAAACCACTCGAAATTTTGTGAAACTTTTTAAGATTTCCAAAAATCCCCTATCTTTCTCGACACCGATAAAAATTGAAAAATAAACCACTTCAAATTCTGTGAAGCTTTTTAACATTTCCAAAAATCCTCCATCTTTCTGGATAAAAATTGAAAAAAATACCACTCGAAAAACTCTGTAAATCTAAGCCTCTCGAATTACCGTAGATGAAATTGATCAAAAGATGTAATAAATTTGCAGGAGCCGGTACAGAGCGGGGCCAACGCGGAAGCTTCGTCGTCGCGCCGTGTTGAAGAACGGCGACTGCAACGTTCTCCAATCACGAATCTCCCGTCGCTCGCTGCGTTTCCTCCAGGATATCTTCACCACCCTGGTGGACACGCAATGGCGCTGGACGTTGCTCTGCTTCAGCCTAAGTTTCGCACTCTCCTGGCTTGGTTTCGCTGTGATCTGGTGGTTGATCGCGTTCACCCACGGTGACTTCGAGGAACGTCACTTGCCGCCGTTTCAAATCGAGAGCAACTGGACGCCCTGTATCTACAACATCTTCTCCTTCACCAGTTGCATCCTCTTCAGTATCGAGACACAGCACACGATCGGCTACGGCAGCCGTTCCACCACGGAAGAATGCCCTGAAGCGATATTCGTGATGTGCGTGCAGAGCATCGCTGGCGTGATGATACAGGCGTTCATGGTTGGCATAGTGTTCGCAAAGATGAGCAGACCGAAGCAGAGAACTCAGACACTGTTGTTCTCGAGGAACGCGGTGATTTGTCAAAGAGACGGCGAGCTTTGCCTGATGTTTCGCGTCGGTGACATGAGGAAGAGCCACATAATCGGCGCTGCTGTTCGAGCGCAATTAATCAGGTCAAGAACCACCAAAGAGGGCGAAGTGTTGTCGCAGAATCAACAAGAGTTGGCCGTAGGTACCGATGGACAGAATGGAAATCTCTTCTTCATCTGGCCGACAACTATCGTTCACAAAATCAACGCCGAATCTCCGTTCTACAATATGTCCGCCGAGGAGATGTTAACGGAGAGATTCGAGGTTGTGGCCATTTTGGAAGGTACCATCGAGTCTACAGGACAGACGACTCAAGCTAGATCTAGCTACTTGCCACAGGAGATTCTCTGGGGGCATAGATTCGAGCCAATGGTGATGTACTCGAAGGAGAGACAAGGTTACGAGGTGGATTACTCGCTGTTCAATAGCACCACGCAAGTGGACACTCCGTTGTGCTCGGGCAAAGAGCTTGCTGAATTTTACAAGGTGCAGGAGGAACTTCGTCATGGAAACGGTGAGTGTTCCTGGGTGGTTCGAGCTGTGAATGCGTACTTGGCATTGTATAGAGTATAGTTTAGAGATAGACGATAGGAAGATCGAGTTAAGCTGGATCCAGGGGTGGATTACAGTATCGTGAATCTCTTCTGACGACGAATAGAGTGAAATCTAGTTTCGACTACCTCGTTTATCCACGAAACATTGATTCTCCTAGTGAACCTACTTTAATTACTAATTAACGCTAATTTCGTTCAACCGTTTTAACGAGTCGAAGAATCTCTAAATTGGAAATGTTCTCGTAAACGAAATCACACCTTGTACAATCCTAAATTCAGATATTACCATGTAACGTATGTACATAGATCGAAATGTGTCTCGTACAACCGTAACCCTATTTCAATCCCAAATTAGGTTCCCAAATCGAACACCGATAATATCTCCGATATTAAACACACATTGCTTCGTGAACGGAATACCGAATGGTCCAGCTAATACCAAATCGATTCCAACTATTCACCCCTGCGTTCACAATAGCTGCACACTCGACTGGCATGTCCGGTGCAATTAAAAATGTCCGCGACTCACGGGCGGATCGGGCAATAACACGTTACAAAACAACCACTAACGAGGCGACAAGGCCGAAGCACGTGCGCTAATTGGGATGCACACGCGAATCAAACTAATCGATACGAAAGCACCCGCTTGCC